CTGCCAGAAACTGGGCATCGACACCGGTGACCGGTTGCGCGCCAGCAGCCGCAAGGTCAAGTTCCTCGTGACAGCGCCACTGCCGGCGGATAGTGAGTTCCCGCCTTTCCAGGATTTCGACGTCGTGCATAATTACCTCCAGAGCAACAATCCCAAGATGCAGGCCCGTTTACGCAAGCGCGGTCAAAAAGGTAAATCATCACCTTGCGACCGACGAAAAGCTTTTGCTCTCTTTAGTGATCCAATTGTTCATAAAGCATATTATCACTTGAAAGAGAAAAGTTTATTATCATTATCATAGGAAAATTTGATAATTTTTTGTAAATATCTTTGAATTAGTATCGCATCATTGTCACATTTTACTTTTATACATGAATAAAGATTCGAATGATGATATAATTTGAATTTTCTATTCTTTATAAAAGGTCACTGGTCATATATTCACACAATTCGTCGACCAAAAATATGCGGCCAAGTAATCGAGGTGAAGACCCAGCTGACGCATCGAGACTACCTGAATATGTTGGCCCAGCGCGATGACTCGCATTTCACTATCTTCAAACGTCGCCGTTGCTTTCTAATCAACAATCAGTATTTTCAATTAGACATATACAGAGAACCGGCGCATCCCAGGTAATACAACAGTATTCTCAACACTGAATGAATTAAAACATTGAATTAAAATTCTATCCATTTTCGATGGAAAAATCGATTCTACATTTATCGAAAAATTAATAAAAAATGAACTTGGTAAATCCAAAACATCTTACATGATTAATCTCTTTATACTTGTCGCAATAGCGTGTGCATACGAAATATCTCGAAAAATATTTCGATTATAATTAATTTCAAAATTCAGATTATTAAATATTAAAATATTTAAAAGGCACATCTTTTTCGCTTCTGCTAAGACCTTTCCTTCATTCTTACTTATTCTTATGTACTTATTCATTCACTCTAAATAATGTAACTTTTGCATACTTTAGATGTCAAGGCTTAATGTTACTCGAAACGTACACAGCGTTGACGGCTGATGAGTTGAAAAACATTTTGCCTCAATTCCTCATAATCGAGAAAGAAGTCACCGGTAATCCAGACTACAGCATGTTCAACCTCAGCTTACTCGAGGAATGGAACAGTACCAATAAATACTGCCACAACTTGCATGGTATTGTATTGACGCGTACTTACTGTAACTAAAAACTCTATTTATTTTGTTATATAAATACATTCATTTTTATATCATCTGTTATAATCTTACTAGAAAAGTTTATTTCTTATAGTATATAAACATAGAAAAACTCGATGAAAATAGCTCGATGATTTAAACTTTTTCGGCCATTCGAGCTTCACGTAGTTCAACCGCATTAAATAGTAACTACCTGAGATTACTAATGATAAAAACCGCTGTATCTGAATGTAAACGAATATCACTTGACATTTTGCAGGCACTATGCAATTGGCAGACAATCAAGGTATCCCGATTTCGAAGAGTCTAACGACCGTGATACAAAGCAACGGAATCGATTGCAAAGCTGATAGTACATTGAATCCGATTATAAACTGTCAACAGACGATTGTTAACAAGAGCGTCAATGGCGCCCGAAATGGTTTGACCAACGGTAAGGCGACGTTTGCCGAGCGATGTAACATAAATGGCGACGGCCAAGAACCAGAAATTCGCAATGGCGATTCAACCATGAGGCCCGACGAGAGTTTGCGAGAATTAAAAGTCGATAAACAGCAGAAGAATGGATTTGATAATAGATTCTTAGGATATACGGAAAATTAAAGAAACAAAGTTTCTTAATAAGCAATTCGCAAACAATTCTGAACTATAGCAGAGACTTAAATTCAGTATCGATGCGAATCTTATCTGAATTAATACTGACTAAACAACTGCTAGTGCGATAGACTTCTAAAATTTCACACAGATAATATCTATTTTTTAATCAAACTTGCGTGTCGTACTTAAGGAATTTTCGTGGAGGGTCTTACGGCCAAGTTTCGTCAACGTCGATTAAATTTGAATCCGAATTAGGATCCAACGTAAATCTTCCAAGAATATGACGAAATTTGCACGAAATTTCAGAAATTCTTAAGATATTTAACAGATTTTTAAATAATACATTTTTCATTCTCTCTAACATTTTCTTACAATTTTAAAAAATCTCTAAAATTTTAAATGAAAAAATAATATTTATAGAAAATGATGATTGAAATTGTCACTTTCGTCCTTCGTGTGATATTTGATAAATTTCATTACACTTCTCGTATCATTTCTTTTTGAATGTATACAGGAAAGAGGAGATAAAGAATGAGCTAAAGAAGAATTAAAGATGAACTGAACAAAAGTTAAAGTTACGCGACATTGATGAAACGAGGTCCTAACAAGTTTTCAATACAGCTCCATTGAATGAGCGATGTGCATTGATGCACCAAGTATTTGTACTTTACTTTACTTTATTCTAGTTTACTCTTCATATGCTTCAAGTATTATCCAACAACTTTTGAAAGCTCGGAAGAATGATTGTGATAAAGAAATGTGCGTATCGTATTACAAGAAGTCAGCGTTTTGAGAACGTGAATCTTAAAAAAAGAGAAATATCGAGCATTTGAAAAAACAATGTTATCGGGCCACATATCCTAAGAAATTATTAGAAAATTCTCTTGGAACTATCGCAAAATTTCTGAGATATAAGGAATTCAAATATGTTAGATATGTTAAGTATCTCTGTAACGTACTTAATGTCAAAAAAAGTTACAAAAGATGTCAAAAATTTATGTTTCAACAATGTAGTATTTTGCGATACATAGCTGATACAGTACTGCAATATCAAAATTTAAAAGTGAGTTTTAAAGTGAGCTATCAGATCTTTAGCACTTGCATAAATTTCTACATGTATATACGCCGTCAGAAATGCCTAGCCATTTGTATTTGCAGGAATATCAAGACATGTTCAAGTCGCGCTTTCTTTTAAAAATATTCATACATTATGATTAATGGTTATTTGAAAAATGATAATGTAAACTTAAAATTGAACTAAATTCAAACTAAACTGAAACTAAACTTAATAATTTATAACTTTTTTTAAAACCAAGTTAAAGTTAAACTTAGCAATTTAACTCAGTTAAGATACAAGGATCCATAATGAATTTAAAAGTTAAGTTAATAAAAAAAGTAATTGAAAAATTAATTTATATAATTTTTTTTACATAATTTTTCGTATTTTGCCTTTCTCACATATATAATGTGGCACAATTATTTAAATTTAATTTAATTTTAAGTTTACGTTATAGTTTTTGAATAACCATTACAATGCACGAATATTTAAAAAGGAACGCGCCTCTTGAACATATCTCAATACTCCTGTAAATTCAGATGGCTAGACATGTCTGACAATATGTGTATGTACTAGAAAAGAAATTAATATCGAGATATTTCGCAAAATTCTTGAAGCACAAATTCACCTGCGGCAACTTTAGTACAAAATTCCTCGGAATATAATAATATTTTTATCTTCTAATTAAGATCGGAAATTGTGAATTTTTAAAATCTTTAGATTAAAATTAACTCGTTTGATTGCAAAGAATAATAGTTTTTTTTTTATTTAATTGGAGGAAAAGATTGAAACTTGTATAATACTTTTTAAGGTATATTATCCAATGTTTCTTTTATTATTGTTTTTAAAAAGCTATCCTATACACGCGTGCGCGCGCGCACACACACACACATACACACATTTATTTTTTTAAATTAAATTTTTCTGAATTTTTTATTTCAATTTTTATAAAAAAAAATTTAATTATAAAGTTTCTTGACTAAGAGAAGATTGGAGATAGTACAAGGCTGTATTCGAAATATTTTCGAGCAGAGAATGAATTCTTTTTTATCGTCGAGCAAACCAAAGCTTTTTTTATTCTCTAAGAGTATTCTCAAGTTTTTTGAGAGATTTGTATATATTTTTTAGTATATAGGAATCCCTAAGTCTTTAGATTTCATAAAATTATAATCTGATAACTCACTCAAAAAATATGGCAATGGTATAGAACAACCTATTGTTGTAATCATGGCGAATTCTTAACGATTTAATATATCAGTACTTAATAGGTGTTCTTGCCTATAGAAGTAATTAAGTTAATTGTATATAATGTGGCGCAATTATTTTTGAATCTACCATTTCTGTGATTAATTGTAATATGTGTTGTCGATGTAATTGCGAGAGATCTCACAAACAGCGGGACAAGAGATTTACTGGAAAAAGAAATGATGATAGAAAAGTATAACTTACGAGATCCTATATATTTTGCTCGTGACCCTAAAACTTGGTGATGAATTCTGCGATGACGCTTATCCATACGTGTCGCTTTCGCATTTTCTACACGCCAAAGTAATCATTCACAAATTTTTGCTACTGTTTAGAGATGAAGTGCCTGTGAAACATTCATTCGCGGAAATAAAGAGAAAGAAATATATATATGTATATATTATAAAAATATATATATGTATAAAAACACGAAAGTCTATATTTTCATTCAATGATACAACGGTGAATTATCAATACGCACTCAGTTTACGTAGATAATGGATCTGAAGAACAGAACGTTGTACCCATAAGCATCTAATAAAACAATATCACGTGCCTATCATGTCTTATATCTCCACCATGTGCTAAATCTATTTAAAATATTTCAAGAGAAACTCTTTCTTTTAAATGAAAAGTTAATTTTTACTTTAATTCTGTAGTTATTTCTTCTACTTAACATCTCTGAATAACATTCCATTTAGAATGACTTGTGATTAAAGATATATTATATTTTTTGAATAATCTTGAATGAAAAATTTTAAAGATTCATTTTTTTACATTTTTATCTATTTTTTCTAATTAAATAATTAAGACAAACTTTAAATATTTGCCTTTTGCTGTAGCAGTCTTTTAAAGGTATTTGTGCATTATTATACATTTTATTAATATATTAGGTATAGAAAAAAATACGAATTAAGCAAGACATTGTTTCAGCACAGCTGAATCATTTATTGGCAACCTGTTAGAAATCCTCACAAAGGAGGAGCCTCTTTTTTCGAGTTACAGTTTAGATAAACTCTTAGTTTTCTACACTGTTTCTCTTATTTTGATCTATTATCATAATTATTTATTATTATCCTTTTTTTCAACAGACAATTAACGTATTAGTTTAAGTTAAAAACACTGTTTAACCACTTACTCTTGGTCTACAATCTTGCTTTAAGAGGCTTTAAGTCATAAGTCGAAAGAGATTAAGTGACAATTTCTGTCTTTAGACTGTTTTTGCGCAATCTTTAGGATTTAACCATTAGATTTAAACGAATAGAGCAAAACCCTATTCTTACGGCCTAAAAGTATAAGCTCTGTGGCCGATATATCGTCATTTAACTTACAGCTTACGGCTTAAGGCTTCTTAAAGCAAAGTTGTGAATTTGTCCTTAGAGTGGAAAGTAAACATTTAGTTTGTTATGATCCTTCTATTTTGTTCCGATCTATTATCGCAATTACTTCTTCATTAAAAAGATTAATGTATTACTAAACAACTTTTCCATCATTCACAATATCTATACAAGTATTGTAATTATATCTGATTTAAGAGTATCGATTTGTCTCATCGATCGCAATATAAGGAAATGTAAAATAAAAATTTATATCTTATAAAAAAGAGGGACATAATCAAGCAATTGCGCTTGGATTACTCCTAAATTCACAAAAACGCATGGAAGTACTATTGTATTAGATATATAAGATTTTTCGCATGTGAGTATAAAGAATCTGGAAAGCGGGATGTATTCCTAATTCATCAAATATCATGACATAGAGTCCGACTGAAATTTCGATTTCAGTTTCAGTCAATTTCGGACAAAAATCAGGGTTTCGGTTTTGGCCGAAATTAAGAGAAAATTTCAGTGGGTAAACCGAAACTGTACAAGTTGCAATGCGCCGGTAAGCGTTCAAAAAACAACTATTTGATTTTAATTATAAACTCATTGATTAAGCTTAAGACAAGCTTTGATATGATCCTAATAATAACTGATTTGATTTCTTTAAAAGAGGATGCAATATTATTATATTAGTTAGATATTTTAATAAAATCTTGTTTTGTAAAGAATACATGAATTTGTCACGATTTCTGAAAACCACGGTTTCTATAAAATTAATTAAAAAAAAAAGTCGATTTCGATTCCGGCTGAGAAAAAATGTGACTCCGTTAGCTTTCTCTCTCACTTTTTCTTTTAATAAGACTTATCTAAGTTTCGGTTTCGGTTTCGTTTTTGGCCGAAATTGAATGACAACCGAATATTCGTTTTCGCTTTTGGCCGGAAGTAAAAATGTGATTTCGGTCGGATTCATGATATTACATACTCTATGTATGGATTCAATCATAAAATGTTATTTGGTATTCTCACAAACAGTATTATCAAATATTTAGTAAATAATTAGCTAAAGATGATAAACACGAGAAAACGAAATAACAAGAAGACATGATTTATGCGTTCATTGCGTTACAAAAGACGAATCTTAAGAAGGCAGAATGCGCCTGTGGACACATTGGATAGTCTTTTGCGAATTTATATGAGACAAAAGTTTCTCTTAATTAAAAGTTCCTATTCTATACATCGTATGTTTCTTCATATTGGAAGCATAAGTCGGAATTTTTTATTTTTCCTTTATATATCTAATAATTTTTTTTGTTCGCGCAATCTTTTAATTAAATATTAAGCTAGACCTTAGACGAGATATGCAAGATCTTGGTTAATCTCGTCATTATACGCTAATGGGTTCCATTTTGTTTTTTGATAAAAGATGAAAATTCCATTCTTAAAAGCGTAATATGAATTTAAAATTATTCGCTATGATCTTTTCTCCTATAATTTTGACTTTCTCACAATTTCTTGCTAAATTTCTTTCATAATTTTTGTTTATTAAAAGCGTCCGCAAGGTCTGTTTAATATTTCGAAGAGATGCATATTGCGCATATTTTCCGATTCGCAAAAAATATATAACGACTCGGCTAGAAGACAATTTTATCAACCTATTACTATACCAAATAAAGAAATAATATTCATCTAGTTTTGGTTTGTTGTTGCTGTTGTTGTTGCGCTTTAAACTGCTTATAGACCTTTTTACTCGGAAGCAACAATTGGCACAGGCCGGGTCTTTTCTTACGCTTTCTGTTCGCTGTCTGATTGTTCTCCTGATCTACCTCATTCTCATCGTCGTTCGCGAGCGGCAATACCTGCTGCTGTTGCTGCTGTTGTTGCTGCTGCTGCTGTTGCTGCTGCTGCTGGTGCTGCTGCTGCTGTCCGTTATACCGAGTTTGACAGACCAGCGTTTCCTGTGGCGTTCGTAGGGCTTCCAATTCGGCCGCGCTACGATGCAGATCCGAATCGTGAGCGAAAGTACAATTGTGACCGAAACGGCAACGACCCTTCCGATAGTTCCAGCAAATCTTGCGACCATTTATCATTTTCGTGTCGTCTAACGTGGGCGTCATCTTTACATGCTTCTCCAGGATTGCGCTCTTTGCTCGCTCCGCCTCAACAAATGGATTTAGGAATACTGAAGTCCTCAGTAACGTGGATGCACTGTTGAAATCTGGCGTGGGTAATGGAAGTTTTTCTTTGGAAGCTGTTGTTTCAGTTATTCTTACGTGTCCACCATTATCCCTGTTGTTCTCCTCTTTGTTATTCTCTTCTTCTTCGTCCTCCCCATCTGATTCCACCTTCTCCACACCCTTAAAGCTAACGGTGAGGCAATATCAGATTACAAAGAACAAGCCGCATTCTGTATGTATATACCGGTTGCCGAACTCAAATGAATGCTTGACAAAATATCCTTTTTTTTTCATTGTAATATTGAGAATAATATTAAGAAGTGTATTCCTTAATCTTTAAGCCTGATCTACTATGTACTTCCTGTTTCTTGCTTTTACTACTTTTTACCTCTTGCCTTTTTATTTTTTATTCAGTTTCTTTGTTCTTTGTGGTTTGAGATAAAAGTTAATGAACTTCAGAAGAGACAAGAAGCGTCAGTGTTAATAAAACAGTTGCAAAAAAGAAGAAAAATAAGATAAAAAGCAAGAAACAGAAAACAAAGAATACAGAGCAGGTTTTAATAGGTGTTTCCAACAAGAGATATCTATTAAACATAATATATATAAACATATATGAGATAACACAGTGTGACACAGTGAATAATTACAGTTTATTTCTATCAATGTAGATTAACTTTAATTTTTCTCTCGGGTTAAACTCTTTATTCTTTATCTTTCTCTAATGACAAATTCAATTAGAAGCACTAGTGTGCATTGGTGCATGTTAAATCCATTATTATATACTAATTTAATTTAAGTATAAAAATGAAATGCAAATATTTCGAATTATGAAATACATATTTTACCTAATAGTACAATAAAATATATTGGGTATTTTAAGATTTAATCAATTTCTTATATATATATATTTATATATAAATGTTTATTTATATAAACATATCTTTACATTATTTTGTGCGATGGCTTTAATATAAATAAACAGCACTGAGTGCGTCTAATTGAATTCGCTATAACTAATTCTTATTCTAGAACTAGAAGGTAAAAAATAGGTTGACTCGAAATTAAAGTTACTCTACATTGATAGAAGTAAATATACATCCATATTGTTTATCAATATTAAACAAAAATGAAATGATCACTTTGCTACTGTAGGTCTGTTTTCTATAGCTGGTGGTATACATTTTTTGAACTGAAATAAATATATACTTGATATTTGACGAAAGTGAGAAATAAATAAAAAAACAGATAACTGCATCTCTTGATGAAAAGTATTCAATATGTCAAGTTTCGCGTTTGCAGGATCTGTCAAACTCAATTCTCATTTTATAATGTGACAGATTCTATCAGCCCCACGTTAAACAGAAATGTTTGTCAGCATTGTGTATTTCGCGGAAGATTAAACTGGAGCGGAATCGCGCCAATGAATGCAGAAAAAAAAAGAAAAGAAAGTAGGGCAGAAGCGATCGGAATTCGGAGGGTGACTTTTACGCAACGTTCCAAACTTACGCATTATCCGAAATGTCGTCATCCATTTCGCCATCCGAACCGGAGGAAGTCCCGTAATCCGCAACCAAGGAAGCCATAATAACAAATATAAATCAGTCGATTCCTACAAACTAGACAATTCTAACCGTACGATCTAATTAATCTAATCATCGCGCGAGGTCAGATGCCAGAGCCAGATGCCGACCACGAGGAGGGGAGGGGACCAACAAAATCTTCGTTAGCGAATTCTTGACAGCGCTGGTAGCGCCATCTAACGGCGCGCTTCCCAACTAAAGACGAAAGCGAGTCAGCCATTTTATTGAAAATATCAACGTGCGCCAATCTAATTGCTAATTAATTTAATAGCGGAAGTGTTTATTGTAAAATTCCTAGCTATATTATATAACTCGTGGTCCGTAATATAAGTTTTTTTTTTCATATTAAATAGTAAAAATCAATTATTTTATCAATTTCAGCTGTAGTCAAAGTCTCGCTTTAAATGTTTTGGTTGATCAATCAGAAAAAAGAATTCTGCAAATTAATCAATCAAAAAACGCTTTAAACCAATCATAGTCGTTATTTTCCTCATTCGATCATGATTAGTTAATTCTTACAGATTAAGACATAAGTTGATAAATTATAAATGATTTATTACGTTTACATGGCTCGATTCACATCGAAGTTAACATCGATATATGAAACTGGCCAATCACATCATTTTATTCTTCAGAGGAATAGATATGATTGAACAGTTTCATAACATCGATATCAAACTTCGACAGATTCCGATTGGTCGAGATTCGAATTTGTCCAACTCGGTTTTCGCGTCCTTTCCGACAGAGAGTAGGTCAATTCGGCGTTCCGAAAACCGATGCGAGCATTCCATTGTCTCTCACTTCACTCCGTCTCCCTTGGCCGTCGATCCATCTCGCCGAAGTCGTCCTCTGATATAAGTGCGATTGTGATTAATTTCTGTATTCTCGATCTTCCCTTGTATCGTTGATACGAGTAAAACGCGACTATAAACAATGGCTGATCAGCAAGAGAACAAGGACTTCAGTGATGACGTAGCGGAGCAAAATTTTGAGAAGAACGGCGAGGCTGAGAGTGGTACCGGCGGTGGCGGCGGGGACGCCGTGGAGAATGGCCAGGACTCGCAGGAGGACAGGTAAGACTTTTTCCATATTCCTTTATCAATCTATTGAGAACTCCGGTAAGATCCAGCCGCGTGATCAGGCATAATTCGCGGCGTCCGGCGTTCCTCAGTAATCCCAGTAACGATAAACTGACTTCGATCGGCGTTTGCGTCCCGCCGAGGCGGTTTCCCGCGAATTTGGTCGGCGTCTCTTGCGGCGAGTCTTCGCTTCCGACACGGCACGGACAAGATGGCGATGGGCCAATTTGAGATGAAATGTAATCCACGCGCATCGGTCGCCCTTCGCTTGCCGATCGCTCGCTCGCGATCATCCCGCGTCGCTTCGCCGCGACGCATTCGCCGGTGCGTTTCTTTTTGCTCCCCGGCGTCCCCCGCGAAAATGATGGAGTTACGTTATTGTTGTAGCTCGACGCGTCTTTTTTTCTCTCTCTCTCTCTCTCTCTCTCTCTCACGTCGCGCCGCGCCGATCGGCCAATCCGATAGCAAAAAAGACTCCTTCGCGTCGCATGTTTCGCACGTTGTTCTTACGCTCATGTTTGATTTTTTTTTGCCGCTTTATTTCTTTCTCCCCTCCCTCCTCCTCTTCTCCTCTTCATTACCGTGATAACGTCGTTCAATGCTCCCCTTCAATGCTCGCGTCGTTTGAAACGCAGAGAGTACGCGGGCACGACAGATCTGACGTCACTTTGCAGCTCGGTACCCTATTTATCAAAGAAATTGTTTACAAGTTAGATATTTTTATATACAGAAATATTTGAAACAAAAAATGTGAATTTTTATACAATTGAACAATTTTATTGCGTCCTACCTTATGCACTCGTAGTAAATCTGTTTGAAATATATTTCTTAATCAAATAAAGATAAGGTAAATATGTAATTTATATTCATTACTATACTGTGATTACAAATTTACACATGTGTTATTTATTATGAGGTATGTGTCCATCTGTTGTTTTTTTTTCAAGCTTTCTAACTTTTTTTGTAAATTTTTTCTTTCTGTTCTCACTTAGCCAATTTAAACTTTCTTCTAGTCCTATAATTAATGGAAGGCAGTCACAATTTCATCATTCATAAAGTTTGTATGTATATGTAGATCTACTTATAATATACTCTCTAAGAAATGACATTTGTATTTGTATTTCTATTTTTTTTATAGAATATAATTTTGAAAATCCACATTTGAACAAGTTACGAGTCATCCTTTCCTTATTCACAGTACAGTTTACGGTCAAATTCAGATTAGTCAATTGCTCGAAAACGATTGACAAATCCGTCCAATGCTTGTGTGGGATCTCTCTGAATTGAACTGTGAGGCTTCGTGAATGAGCTTTGGGGTCGGAATTATTGTGAACAGTCGAGCATCGAATTCTCAAGTCCATCATGTTACGTCACGACACGAAAGTACCTGGAGTCAAATCGAGTTAAATGTTACTTGAGATCAAATACGTGTGTCGCAGCGACACACACTTGCCTGCTGGATAATACAGAGTAGAGTAATTTCCGCTGATTCGAGTGATATTTGGATTATTTGGGCATGAGCAAATACACAGAGACAGACTAGGATCAATGCAAACATCTCCAATAGGCTCCGGAACGCCATTAACGCAGTTTCTGTGACTTGGTCTGCAGGTGGCTAAAACGTCCCAGTGCGATTATGGCGGGCTGCTTGCAACTGGCTAACTGTGACCTGACCTGACAACAGATACCGGCGAGAGACTGGTACCCATGGTATTTATCATCAGCAATAGATGATATGAAAACGACATAATGTATATATATATATATATCTCAATAAACATATATAAGTACAGACTTAACATCACTGGGAAAAAAGTTAAGGAAAAGATAAAAACAGCAAAAAATGTGTACATATTGCAGCTTGTTATTTGAATGTGAAAAAAAAAATATGAAAAATGTATCTCGAGACTCAAGACAAGTCAGTCGTATATAATGTAAGCCTTCTTGACGAATTGTAAGATAAAATATCCTTATATGTACAAGTGTCTGATGTAATGCATAATAATAGTGTTTAAAAAGAACTCCAATAAAAAAAAATAAAGAATAAGAAATAAGAACTTAAAGCAAAATCGTGCAGTGACCAATGTTAATCTATTGTAATGTGGAAATTAATTTTTAGCTTTCCAATATAGAGTTGCAGTCGATCTACCACATGCCACTAATTTGGGTCAATTAATAATCGGGATTTAATTGTAACTTTAGAGAAGTTATTTGTATTTTCTTTAGGGGCAGCAGTATCTCAACTGGAGTTGTAGCTTATTTGGATCATCGTAACAGTACTTTACTTTTTTTGATGCGTTTTTTTTCTACTACACTCACACACATATACACATATAACATATTTATGCATATGTACTTTTTTTCTAAAACTTTTCCTTTAATACTTTTCACTTGTTATATAAAACTTGTTATATATGGTGTTCAAATCGAGTTGACCTGTGTGGTGCGCAAAACCGCCGACTCTCCGTAACTTCAATTTTACTACGCTATCGCGTAGCAACTGCATATGTAATTTGTACAATAACATACATTTATCTTGATAAAAGTTCATTTGTTCTAGGAATATGGTATCTTGTAACTTTTATTATCAGTATAACGAATCTTGTTTAGTCTCACACGCAAGGAACGTTTATTTTTCCAAATCTATATGTAGGACAACACCTACATTGTGTATTGCTGCAATTGGAATTCCTATTCCTTATTAGAAATAGCTATTATCGTGCTTGTTAAATACAACAAAATTTTTTGCAGTGTCTTTTCCAGATAGCATCATGGATCATCCATCAATTGCATTTTATTAAATTGTAGTACAATTTTAATTTGCACAGGAATGACATTAAATCAACATTAAATTCATTAGAAGCAATTAGTTTAATATCTATTAAAAAATCTCTGTTCTTTGGTAAAATAAATTAGTTCCATTGCTTTGCAGGTTGACCGGAAGTAATCAGGATGATTGATACAGGCACATTCAATTCCTATTTCTCTCTTTCGTTTACTTTTTAATATTATGTGCCTATATAAATTCAATTAAAATAATATTACTACAATTATCATAACACCGCGATATAGCGGTTGGAAAGTTAGGGCGGCAAATATATATTATTCTCTATTACATTTGCTTAAAATTTTTATTTCTGTTTATTGTTTACAGAAAATTATTTGTCGGTGGCTTGAGCTGGGAAACTACTGACAGTGAGTATTCTTATATCTTTAATAATTTCTAATCGTCGATAGATTGCGTTTTATTCGGAAATCCGTCACGAATATCTTTAATCTATTTCAGAGGAATTAAGGGAACATTTTAGCACTTATGGTGACATTGAGAGTATTAATGTTAAAACAGATCCTAACACAGGAAGATCGAGAGGTTTTGCCTTCATTGTTTTTGCAAAGGCTGAAGCTCTCGATAAGGTAATTAAAAAAATTTTTTTTTAATCTATAGATATTAAAATGAAAAAAGTATTACGAATATGTATATAGAAAAAAAATATATTACAAATTAAAGATAGAAGGGCTCTAAAGAAATAAATCAGTAAACATAATGCCAATCAGAGTCAAACACAAAGTGAACGCGTCTAATTAAATTCTATCAGTATAATACAATAATTATAGACGTTTTGAATATATTATAACAAAGAAATTAATTACAGAAATAGAATTCAGTACTCAAATAGTAGTCAAATAAAACCGTAAAATTAAACTGGAGTAATCCGTGGTTACACTGTTATTATGATTTTTATGTTTGTTGACATAAAAATCATATGAATTGGAAAACAATGCAACATTCTGTTATGAACAGACTAGAATTCTCTCATGAATTTAATTAGGAGAATGTTAAAATTTTAGACGAAGAAAATTTTTTTATAAAAGATTGATTTCAGAAATGATTTTTATTAATTAATGAATTAACGGTTTGAACATTAAAGTGACACAGAATCTATTGATCCGACTCTATTTAAATTTATTTACAAGGACTTGATATTTCCCTCTCTTTACTATCTTTGTCGTTTATATATATCACGATTTTTATCATGACTTTCACACGCGCTTGAGTGCGAACCAGAAAGACTTGCCTTGACGGAATCATGTAAGTCAATTTGTCAGAATTAAAGCTCTATTCTCTCCTAAAATTGTACGATAATTTTTAATATTTTATATTTTACACTCTTCAAATCAATTTGGAAATTCAATAAATAAATGCTTAACATAATTATATTTTGCAAGAAATTACACTACATCTGATCGCAGATTACTCCCGTTCAATGTTTTTGTTTGATGACTATTTAGTATTAAATTCTATTTTTGTAATTAATTTTTTTGTTATATTGAAACTGATCCGAAACGTCTATAATTATTGTATTATACTAATAAAAGTTAATTATACGCGTTCATCTTGTGTATGGCTCTGATTGGCATTGTGTTTACTGTTTTATATATGTTATTGTTTTTAATCTAATGATTTCTTGTAGATTATGTCAGCTGGCGATCATGTCATTAACAACAAAAAAGTTGACCCCAAGAAAGCGAAAGCTAGACATGGAAAAATCTTCGTCGGTGGTCTTTCAACGGAATTGTCTGATGACGACATTAAGAACTTCTTCTCACAATTTGGGAATGTAAATATTTTTTACTTGGAAACGAATACAAGGAATAAGTCGAAAGAAAAAGGAATTATTGCATGTTTCTCTTCCAGATTGTCGAGGTAGAGATGCCATTTGATAAGACAAAGAACCAAAGGAAAGGTTTCTGCTTTATTACATTTGAATCTGAGCAAGTAGTTAATGAACTTCTTAAGACACCCAAACAGACTATCAATGGAAAAGCGGTAAATTTTATTGAACTTTTATTTTATAGTAAAGAGGAGTTATTAAATTTAAAATTTAACTTTTTTACTCAGAAATCAACAAACACAATTTTTTTAATCTTGTTTAACAGGTAGATGTTAAGAAGGCAACACCCAAATTGGATGGAATGGGTGGGATGCGTGGCGGAATGATGGGCAGAGGAAGAGGAGCTCGTGGTGGTCGGGGTCGCGGATTCGGAGGACAAGGTGGATGGGGACAGGGCTACGGAGGCGGTTATGGCGGTGGCTACGGCCAAGGTGGCTACGGCGGTGGGTACGACGGTTACGGGGGATACGATTACTACGGCGGCGGTTACGGAGGTTACGGTGGTTATGATTACAGCGGATATGGTGGTGATTATCTTTTGTTCTTTTTCATATAGATATATAGTAAATTAAATTTGAATTTATAAGTAATGTCCCAGGGTGGGGTACTTTCTGTCATGAAATGGTCAGTATCCTGGCGATCGGAGGGTATCTTTGCAACATTCTTTTAAGATTAGAATTCTCACTATTCGAATTGATTTTTTTTGTATAGTCGTGATGTTAATATTTTCTTTTTTTACTTCTTGCAATGAAATCTCAATGGTACGTGCGGATACTGACTCCATTGTACCATGTGTTTCATGAAACGCAGATGGCTATGGCTATGGCGGTGGTAATTACGAAGGTGGCTACGCGGGCGGGCGCGGTGGTGTACGCGGTAAAGGTACGCATTACAGCGTTCCTTGATATATTTTACTACCCATCATTTTGTATTTTGCTCTCTTTTTCTCTCTTTTACATTTAGCTTTGCCACCGCTAGAATTGCACCCATCCTTGTAACCCATTGTGATTGCAATGAGAGCAATTTAATCTCCAAACTTACAATCTAATAAATATAATCTAAATATAAATTTCGATTAATTTTGACTGTAGAAGTATCAAAATAGAAAATTTTATTTACTTTGCTTTTGTCATTTTTGCTTACAAATTCGTGTTGCTTAATCATTGTTGTAATAACAAAAAAAAAGGATGGCGAAAGAATTACTAGAACCCTAGAGAGATGCGTATCAAAAGGAAGGATATGGAATAGTATGCAGCTTACTACCTTAGCCTGTAGCCTCTTTGTTCTTACATTTATTGTCAGTAGTAATATCTTTTTTTCGTAGTACTTGATTGTTGTTAGTAGCGTAGTGTATTCTTATCGAGATGTGCGTGCGTTATATTATAAGATCGATCTGTTCTACGTTATTAATTTGTACAATTATATTTGTATAATTGTAGCTACATACTTATGCTATAAAGGTAAAAAAAACTAATGATACAGTGTCGACATTGTTTCAGGTGGCTCCGGCTACGGTGGCAAACAAAGAGGAGGTGGTGGTCGCCAAAATCAGAGGCACCAGCCGTACTAACGAAAATCCTCATTCGCGAACGCTGTGCAATTCGCGTTGTAATCGCTGGTGAGTTGCCGCATAATCGAAATTTTGATCTTTTTTGCGTCGTTGTTTTAAGATATTTCTAGCGGCAATCTCTTTCAATGTCATTTTACTATTCGTTAATATTAATCATTATCAGTGTTTATTATATTTTTGTAGAACATTAATTTAAATTAAGTGTCCCAGTTTTTTGTTACTTCAGCCCTCTTTTTGTTGACAGATGTCGATGAATATATATTTTACATAAAACCTGATTTGTAATTTACAAATACACGGCATACATATACACAACGTAGACTACTAATTTTTTTTCACAGGTACTCTTCCTCACTACTACCGATCTCTTCATTCAATTCGTCCAATCATCATTCCATTAAGTCGCGCTCCTCCTAGCAAGAATATCGACAATTTTTCAACAATGTGGACAACTGCTGCTACGAAATCAATCACCGAAAACCACGAGACCGGCGACAGCAGTAGAGATTTCATTTTGTATTTATCTCCGATTTATATTATTCCGCGACTATATGCTTTCCTTTCTGCCGTTTGTAGTGCGAGCTTGTGTCGTTTTTTTCTCCTTTTTAATAGTATGTTCACGGTAGAAAAGCAAGCATATAAAATCACCGATAGATTTTTGAATGTAATACCGAACAAAACAGTGAAGTATCCAACAGTATACAATCTTGCAAAAAAAAGTAACGTTGCCGTATGATAGATAAAATGAAATAAGAATAGTTGTATAAAGATACAATGTAAGCACGACAACGCGTGCCTCGTCAGAAAAATGCGTCGTTATTGAGGAATTGCGCATCCAGAATTATTCCCATTTATACATATAAACCTAGTACCTTATCCCATTACATTTAGAGATCGGGAAGTTTATTTTTGATGAAACAATTAATTTGTCAAATCTGCAGTAAAATGAATCTGCAGTATTTTATTGACACGGATAGAAATATTAATTTTTTGTTATCTGAGAAATAACAAACTAGAACCGATTTTTATTGGATATTAAGCAATTAAATTAAAAAAAAAATTAACATTTGGTCTTTCAACTATTTTAGACTCTTTGATTCTTGCTTCGCGATTGTTTTTCCAATCAAAATTTCATGCGAAATAGTAGGAAATAAAATTCGTTTGTGCTGAACATAATTATGTCAAGGGATCGATTATGTAGCTTGAAATGAAATGAAAAGTATAAAAGTGAGCAAACTACTTACTAGTTATTGACCAATGAAATTATAAATATTTTTATATCTGCTCATTTTTGTTATTTTTATCTTATTTCAACATACACATTCTATCCTTTGTTCGCATTAGGTCTGTTCGCGTTGCTTGCACTTTTTTCACTCAGCATCTTCGCTTTCTCTCTTTAACACCCGATTATATATTTCATTTAAGCAAAAACTTTTGGGGATTTTAACACGAACAAATTTATTGCTTGCACTATTTGCATTCAGAATTTTTGCTTTTCTTTTTTCAACGCTCGAATATATATTTACGAATGTTTGTTTACTTTACTAGCATTTTTTACACTCTGTATTCATTTTCTTTTTAACATCTGAATATATATTTGTCTCTTTTTGAGCGCAAACATTTTAATCAAAAGGTTTCAAGCAACACGAACAAACTTTTTATTTTGTTCCAAGTGCAGTTATTCGTAGCCTTATTTTACAAGTCTAAAGTAATTGTTAATACTACAGCTCTGTGGTTGGTATTCAGTCTGTTCTTATATTTAAGACTGTCTTAAGTACAGTTTTAAAATAGGCCTTATAAGCCAATCAAAGACCAATATTTATAATCGATTCTCATATTTGAGACAGGATACGATCAACGCGATGCTACAAATACTTTGAGCGTTTTTTGATTAGTTAATCAAGCGCTTCAAAACATTTGTAGCGAAATTTCGACCATAGTCAGAAACATGTCACAAGCCTAGTCACTTAAGACGATCTTAAAAAATAAAAACGGAGTATACAGGTGATATTCATAGTCCATTCTTTTTTAAAGACTTGAGGTGCTAATACAGCTTTCTAATTGGTCATGACATCAGCCTATGAACCGACCTGTAATTAGATTATAACATTTCAAGATCATACTTAAGAGCATCTTAAATATAAGGACTGACTATGGTCAGTATTCATGGTTGGTGTTCATAGTCGGTTCAAGCTCATTTTAAATATAGTCTTAAGATGTTATGAACCAATCAGGAAGCCATATTAGTATCTTAAGACATTACTTAATGCATGGTCCACAATGAGCAGTAACAGTAGTTGATTAAGAAGTAGGTGTAGAAATCGACTAATTATAGTTGATTATTTTTCTTACATTCAACTATGATTAGTCGATTTCTACGCCTATTTTTTAATCCAGTATTTCTACTGTCCATTGTAGACCATACATAAAATGATCTTAAAAATAACCGACTATGAATAGCGGCTTTAAATACCAGCCAAAAGCTGATTAATTAAACTATAGGGGATCGATTCTGTATTTTGAAACGAGGTGAAAATTACAAAAGTGAACGAATTTACAAAAATACTGATAATTTAATTGATCAACACTTAGTAAATTTGTTCATTTTTGTTTGCACTTGCACACAGTTCGACTCACATCGGCTTGTTCTTAGTTATTTCTCACTGCTTCATCAATGAGATTGGCCCAGTTTCCACCAAAGGTTTAAACCAGATCAGAATATAAGAACCAACTACAGTCGAGCATTCCCCTATCGTTCGACTGTAATAGAGAAATACTCAACTGGTAATACTAATTGGTTGGTTCTTACATTCTGATCCAGATTAAACTCTCGGTGGAAACTAGGCCATTGCCTGGTTTATGTTTCGGTCTTAAGCCGGTATTCATAGTCAGATCTTATATTCAAGACCGTCTTAAGTACAGTCTTAAGAAGTCACGAACCAATCAGAAGGCTGCATTAGCGTCTTAAGACAATCTTGAAATAAAATATACCGACTTTAATTCTAAAATCCTAAAATTTAGCTAATACAGATTTCAGTTAGGACTAATTAAGACTGGCAGCTTTATTGACTGAATTTTAAAATTTTAGAGTTAAAATGGAGAGCACAGACTCTGCATAATCCATAACATGAGACATAAGGAAATGAACCAATCAAAGTGCTTTATATCCTTCCTTTCTGTGAAATAAAAGATTCTGATTGATTGATTTTCTTATGCCTCATGTTTTATGCGTTATATCTGTGCTCCCCGCTTAAAACCGAAGCATAAACCAAGCATATATTATTTAAGAGTGTTATTTCATTTGTGAATTTTTGTCGTACAGCAAATGTGTAGAGGACAGAGAGGTCCTCGGATCTCTTTCTCTCTCTCTCTCTCTCTCTCATAGCCAATCAACAGGCTTGAAAAATTTGTTGTATGACAAAAACGCACAAATGAAATATCATCCTTATGATCGTGCACAGGTGTTTGTGGAAGGTTGCTGAAGGTATGTATCTCTCATTTTCCCATGAAAGTCCCTAGAAATTTTGAAAATTATCCATGAACTGTGTGTTATCAATCAAACGGATGATTGGGACTGTGTTCGCTCTGGCGCTCACAACGCTTTAAGCGTCGTTTTCCTTGTTGTTTATTAAATATTAAACAAGAACAATTGATGCTCACAATAAACCTTTAGATACTAAAATAGCGCATTCCTTTTATCTGAGTTGAAATGCCGACGAAGTCTTCTTATTAATCATTTCGATCGCCATTTCGCTTTAATTGTCTGTAGTCCAATAAGCGCTTATTATTGATATAGGGTATGGTTAGTAAATATAAAATGGAGGACCTATGGTATCTAGAGCTACTTTGGTATCTAGAGCTTTAGGGTCTGAGCACAAGAATTGTCGTAACACTTACTTTAAAGACTTAAGTTGTAGATGCAAGCACAAGCTTTGGTGTATAACGTATGATTTATTACGGTCTCTTGGAGACACGGCAATAAGTTGTGCGTCATATGTGAAAGCGTCATATGTGCGTTATTTACGTCTACAATTTAAGTCTAAATAAGTGTTACGACAATTTTTATGCTCAGACCCTTAGCTCACAAGCGTTATGAGCGCCAAAGCGAACACAGCTTGGGATGTGGATTGGGCAGAAAGTTACACGCGGCGGTATTGGCAGCATTGTTCTCGGAGGGAAGTCGAGTAGCGCGAAGTGAGCAGCGGAACGCGGACGACGCGGTGTAAACGCGAAAGTGTTGATTGTGTGGTGTTTGTGGTGTACGTGACGAATATCTCATTCAGTGCATGTAACTGATTGTCGGTGCGAGTGAAACAATCGGTTTGGCAACGCGTCCAGCGAGATAGCCGCTCCGCGTACCTGTGATATGCCAATTATTATTGCTTGCGGACCCGCGAATGGAGGTCCTGCGGTTCTAGAAACAACCGACGCCAAGCAGCGAGCAACATATTCTCGACGCCGAGGCGCGATTACTAAAGGTACGCAACGTACGCTATCCGATCGTTCGTACCGGGTTCGCGGATTCGTAATCCGTGAAAACCCTCGGCGAGTAACGGGGGATGAAGGACAGGTGTTCCCGTTCTTATGACAAACGGCATCGTCGTTCTCTCGAAACCGCACCAATTAGATGACGGCTCTTTCCCGCCATTTTTTTCAAAGTTCCTTACAACGTGGATGCCTCCACCTGCGGTAATAGTTTCCATCGCTGACAGAAAGAAAAAACGCTTCTCCGACGCCCAGACGTCTGCCTCTAAATCGGATCTCAAATTAATAAACCATAGTTATAACGAATTCGGTTACTTGCATTACACTAAGTAATGGTCTGTTTTCTGTTCCTGCACTAGACTGTTTTAGAACTGTCTTGCTTTAGACAAATATCAAACATATATTTATCTTACATAAGACAGATATACGTTTGATATTTGTCTAAAGAGAAAGAGAGTTCTAGTAAGGCTGGAAACAGACTATGCATTAAAGATTGAGATCGAAAATTTAAGATTGAAATTTGATCAATGAAGACAAAGGAATTTTAGCTCCTATTGTTTAGATCAATATTATTATTTATTTAGATCATATTGTTTTGGTCAAATTTCAATCTTTCAATCTTAAATTTCAATTTTCAATGCATTGTCTGATTTCAACCTAATGCAAGTTGAGTTCTAAAAGTGTATTAGTTCAACCACAGAAAACAGACCTTAGATTAGTACATACTAAAAACTGCTACATAAAATTAACAGTTGAAATGAAATGTAAAGGCATATAAATATTTTAAATAATTAACCCTAGCTGTACACACTGGGATTCCCAGGACCCCAGCACAACTTTCGAAATCGAGATTTTTTTCGCGTTTCTAAATTTTTCTTTTTCTTTGAACCTATATATCTCGAAGTTCCTTAATTCTATCAACTTTTACACATTATGGG